CGGTGGGACAGACATGCCGGGATTTCAACCAGCAAATGTGGTTTTCATGTTGCTTGTGGTCTGACGGGATGTGCGAGTGTGTTCCACAGAACATATGATTCTGTCTCTACATCAACATTTCTGTGTGTGTGTGTGTGTGTGTGTGTGTGTGTGTGTGTGTGTGTGTGTGTGTGTGTTATACATAATTAACCTACATAATAAGTTGGAAATCCTTCAGCAACTGTTCCTCCCTCTTCACTCCCTTGGACTCTGAATCACAGGAAGACCCCCGCACATCTGGAGCTCCAGCTCTCACACTCAGTGGAAGGGTGTGGGTGTGGGTGTGGGTGTGTGTGTGTGTGTGTTTGAGATGCTGCTGCTCTCATTGGCTGAGACAGAGATGCTTTCACTGCTGATTGGCTCAAAGTTCGTGGGGTTTGTTTTGGTGGAGGTGCAGCAGCAGCGTCAGTGCTGAGGTCCCATAAATGAACAGACTCAGAGCGGGACAGACCCAGACAGAGACAGAGAGGAGACAGAGACAGAGAGGACACAGACCTTCAGACCTTTGACTTCACCTCTCTTCAGGACCATCAGCTGCTTCAAGATGCTCGCTGCGTGTCTGGAGTTCCTCGGCATGGCGCTGTGCGTCACCGGCTCCGTGCTGGTGATGGTGGCCTGCGGGCTGCCGATGTGGAAGGTGACCGCCTTCATCGACTCCAACATCGTGGTGGCTCAGACCATCTGGGACGGGCTGTGGATGTCCTGCGTGGTGCAGAGCACCGGGCAGATGCAGTGCAAAGTCCACGACTCGGTGCTGGCCCTGGCGCAGGACCTGCAGACTGCGCGCGCCCTCACCATCATCTCCGCCGTGCTGGGGGTCGTCGGCCTCACGGTGACGGTGGCCGGGGCGCAGTGCACCAACTGCATCAAGGATGAGACGGTGAAGGCGAGAGTGGTGTACGCCGGGGGGGTGATCTACATCATCAGCGGGCTGTCGGTGCTGATCCCGCTCTGCTGGATGGCCAACAACATCATCGTGGACTTCCACAACCCGCAGGTGCCGCCGTCCAAGAAGAGGGAGATCGGGGCGGCCATCTACATCGGCTGGGCGGCCGCGGCGCTGCTGCTGTTCGGCGGGACGCTGCTGTGCTGCTCCTTCGCCTCCGTGGTCAGGGGCGTGTCCCCCATCAAATACGCTCCCACCAAGACCATCACAGCCAGCTCGGACCTCGACAAGAAGTACTATGTGTAGACTGAGTCCGGGTCTTCACCGCGGACCGGAGCAGCTGGAGCATCTGGAAAGTTTCTGCTGAAATGAAGCGCCACAGGAAGCTGAGCCCGTCAGGTGACACCTGGTGCAGCGAGGTGCGCACGAGACTTTAAAGCACAGTGGCTGTAACTGTTGAACTAAGCGTGAACTGAATGTCATTTTGTAAATCATTTTTTCCGGCAGCAGAAGTTTATTCTTCTGTTTTTAGCGCATCACGTGTCCAAGTCTGAGGAGACACAACAATTCATTAAAGAAAGTTAAACGTTTGACTGAGGCTGGAACCTGCGGCCACAGGTGTTGTAATGACGTCATTGTGCAGGTCGAGTTGAAAAGCTGCAGGGCTTCATTGTAAATAGACCCCCCCCCCCCCCCCCCCCCCGTGGACTCATTGTGTTGATGAGGTCGGTTCCCACAGTGAAGCCCTCACACCGATGTGCACTCATGTTGCGATCAAAGGAGGGAATTTGCATCTGAATGCATCATGTACAGTGTTTTGAACTTCATGTCTTTTTATTTTTTTTTAATTGTCTTTTCATAGAAACTTTTTCTAAAAAAACAAATAAAAAAAACATGTAACTGTTTGTCTTTGTTGTTTATGACATGATATATAAAGATTTTAAAAAGATGAGCATGAACAGGAACAGGGGCGTAGTGGGACTAGTTACCCAGGGGCCCAACATGGTGCGGCTCCTCCAACAGCCTGGGATGTTTCTGCAATTCTGAAATGTGATATTTGACATTCCTGCAGAATAAATAAAGAGTTTGACAGATTATTTCTTGCATCTAAAACAATGAAATAAATAAAAGTGAGTTTAGTGTGAGAGGACGACAGATCCTGTGTTTTCAGGTTTAATAATGGAGCAACCTGTTTGGACCGTGCCTTTAAGTTTCTAAGGTTTTATAATAATAATAATAATAATAATAATAATAATAATAATAATAATAATAATAATATAGAGCCCTTTTTTAAAGTGCAGTCATAGAAGGCAACAGTTTTTTTTATTTAATTAAAATTAAAATGTTTTAGTATTATAATGCAAATAAAGCAAAGGCAGAGCCACCAGTAAAACCACCAAGTAAAAATCAATAAAACGAATGAATAAAAAAGCAAGAGTAATCAATAAAGTTTAATAAAATCTGGAGAAGCTCTACAATAAAAGTGTTTCAAGAAGTGATTTAAAAGCAGCTTATATATTACAACAGACACCTAATTAATCCACACGACTCCAGTTTAATCAGCTCGTCTTTTCAGAGTAAGACGTCTTTCCACTTTGTTTTAATTTAATGAAATCACCGAAAACAAGCGACAGAAATAACGTTTTAAAACCTCGCAGAGAAAAGAGGACGAGATATTCAGATGGACTTTTATAAATGTGTTTCCAACTTTAAACACACAGATGCATGTGTGTGGGTGTTGATTCAGGTATCCGTACAGGTGGAACAGTGGACATATTTAAAGGGTGATGGGGCCCATTGAGGCTTTCTGTGCGACGCCGCTGTGAGAATGACAACGAGCCAAATCCTGTGAGTCTCATGTCAGTAACGAGGACAAAGTTCACGCATGACGAGCTCTCAGAATAAATAAATCATACACGTGTCCTTGTTTGTGTGTGAAATGAAGGAAACAAACAAGAGCCAGACACGTTAATAATCAAGTCCCCGGCTCACACACCCCGACGGAGCCGAAAACGACCTGCGCAGGAGCGTCGGGGGGCGGCTTTGAACAATGCACCCAGCGGACTATCACCAGGATCAGCACAATCAGCAGGGGTGCAACTCCAGCGTCAGGAAGCTTGGCCTAGATCTGGACCAGTGGAGCAATCAGTGCCCTCACGTGGATAAACACAAAGAACACACACACACACACACACACACACACACACACACACACACACACAGGAACAGCAAAGTGCACGCAAACACTAAGTAGGTGGTGAGTCACTGTGATCTCAAATTCACAGTAAGCGCTAGAACCACCTCCTCGCAGTCGTATCCCTCCGCCACTCGGACTAGTTTCAGGTTACATCCCTGTTTATCCAGAGCCATATAAAATATGAACCATTTGTGTGATTTCTGAGGTCACCGTGACCTTGACCTTTAACCTTTAGCCACCATGGAGAAGGTTCAGAACTGAACCAGGATCAAACTGCTTCATAAAGAAACTCACAGCAAAGGAAACGTGGCTCGTCGGTTTCTCCTGGAGAGAGTCTCACCTGACGTCCATCATCACAGCTGCACAGGCCTGCATCCATCATCATCATCATCATCATTATTACTATTATTATTATTATTATTATTAGTGATTGTTATTTAATTTTACTCATTATTGCTCATCTATTATTATATGTTGTATTTCTGTGCCTATGTTTGTCTTGTTCTTCTGCTTCTGATTCAATACAGAAATGTTTGGGGAAAAAAAACATCTGGATTCAGCCTCACCTGGAAAACATCTGTCATAGAGGTGAAAGTGAAAACAGTCCTCAGTGTCCCAATTAGGAGTTTATGCATTTGATCTTTTTTCCTTTCTCATATAGATTTAGCAGAATAAAGTCAGTCTGATTTACAGCCAGTCTGTGTGACGCCTGGTTCAGAAACGTAAATATAAAAGTGTTTCAAATAATAATAGTAATAATAATAATAATAATAATATGTAAATGTGCAAAACAGACTCGACAGACTCGGAGGTTTGGTGAGAAAATAATTCAGGAAACTTGATTAAAGTGAGAAGAAGTTTGATAATGTGAAATGTAAAAGATGCAATAAGAACCTGCAGAGTGACTTCCTCCTTGTTTGTTTTTAATGTTGAAATAAAATCCTTCGTTTCTCAGCAGCATCTATATTATTGTCATGGTGTTTTTTTTATTATTATCATCTGCACACAATAAATTACAAGTATGTACAAGACATTGAGGCACAGGAAGTCTGTGAGATCATCGTTACAACGGCTTCTGACAGATTTCACCTCGACCATCTCGAAGGTTCAGGCCACAGAAAACACACACACACACACACACACACACACACACACACACACACACACACACACACACACACACACTTCAAGTATCAGCTCGAGCTTCGGTCAAGAAACTAAATTAGAAAAATGAAAATGTGTGTAACTGATCACAGAGCAGATCTCTACTCAGGACCGTGAAGGCACCGCGTCGCCCTCTGGTGGTTAAACCTCGTCATGAGAAGCTCAACACTGATTTAAAAGCTGTTTTTCTGAAGGTACTGAAGGTGTTAAAGAGACTTAATGAACCTGATTGAAGAAATTAAAGGGTCAGTTCACCCAAATCACAAAAACTTTATACACTTTATAAACGTGGAAATCTGTTCTGTGTTTGGCTCGTGTCGATTTGTCAAACTCTGATTATGAGATATCAAACATCTACATTAGATATATCAATTATCTATCATTATTTACTAAACTTATTCATCATCAAACACATTATAAAGTAACACACTTAAAGAAGTTGATGTTGGATGTTTTCAAGCGTCTGTATCTGAATGTACCTGCAGGTTCTGTTGTGGTCACTAGAGGTCCTCGTCGGTCCGCGAGGTTCTGAGGAGCTGAGGCCTGATCCTGGATCCAAACTACACTCACAGTGACTCACACCGTGGGCTACAACTTCAACACTCTAACCGCCAGAGTTACGGCGTTTTCTGTGACCTGCAGCGGAGCGACCAGCAGAGGCGTCATATCAAACCTAAACCGTCTGTGCGACCGACAACCGTGTGGAACGTGAAATTTAATGTAGTTGAACTGACCCTTTAAACTGACACTGACATCTTCTTAAGGCGAGTCTGAACTTGTCTCATCTTTACAGTGTTTAACATTCATTCCTGAATTCCCTTGAACACGAGACAGTGGAGGTAACGGACACGTAAGAGCGTCTGAATCTCCTCTGGACTTCTGTGGCGTCGCTGATCTAACCCTGATATAAAAACGACAAAAGTATAAAAGTTGTGCCTCAGCTCACGAGCCGAGCTGGATCACACTGGCCTCTTTATCTTTATGGATGAGGTGATGCTGACTTGTCTGGTTCCGGATCTGGGATTTTATGTCCATGTTGCAGCAAAAGGCACAGAGTGCGTCTACGCCTGATATTCCTTCAGTAACTGGCCGGCGATCACCAGCCTCTGGATCTCACTGGTGCCCTCGTAGATCTCCGTAATGCGAGCGTCGCGGTAGTGCCTCTCCGCCGGCATGTCCGACACGTAACCCATCCCACCCAGAACCTGGATCGCCTGAGTTCAAGTGCAAAATAAAGAAGAGTGAGATTAACATCGTCTCGGAGGGTTTCGTTCAGGATCTTTACATCCCTCCCTTGACGTTTGTCGGTGTCTTACCTGATGTGAGCAGAACGTGCGCGATTCAATGCCTGCGAGTTTGGCCATGGCTGCTTCCTGTGGGGGGGGGGAGAGAAGAGCAGAGGGTGACGGGCTGCAGGTTCTACCGTATGAATGTAAAAACCTGTGGAGGTCAGAGGTCGACCCTGTACCTTGGTGAAGGGTTTCTTGGAGTCTCGGAGAAGCGCGGCCTTCCAGGTGAGCAGGCGAGCGCTCTCTAACGCCACAGCCATGTCGGCCAGTTTGAACTAGACGAGAGTAAGAGACGCTCAGTTAGTCCTGGAGCCGCAGGTCCACCGTCTGAGAGACGGGAAACATTCATCACAGATGTTGATGAATGCTGTAAATGATTAGTGATTATTGAGCAGAGATGCCAAATATCTGCTGATGTGTTGCTCTGGGTTCTGGTATTTGAAGGCGACACCTTCTGCTCTGAGGAACACACTCCGTCTTCTTACAGCTTTGAGGGGAGGTTTCTGGTTTCACTGTTACACTTCACTAACGTTGTAGGACTTAAAAAAAACCACGGTACAAATCGAAGCAGCAGATGTGAAGTCATCCTGACTTTTAGTCCTCGGTATAGTAGCTGGATCCTACATTTCCCATAGCTGCTGCCTGACCTTTGACCTTCTGTACAGTTGCTCTGTGCACTGAGGGACCGTTGTTGACATTCTGACTGTGCTGCACTTTCTCCGTTTCCTACGGTGGCCCTGAGAGCTCAACACAAGCAAACACACAAATACGCTGCAAGTAGCACAGGCGACGACCGACGTGTTTCCAGGGGACACCATAAAAGTGATGGACCAGACTATTGAACAACAAGTGCGTCCCAGCCAGGTGCATCACTTTTATAGTGTCCCCTGGAAACACTTCTGAATTAGTTTGTTTTTTGTCTGTTTCTATGTGTCCTGTTTACAACCTGTCCGACTGTTTCCCTCCGTCACCATGTTCCCAAAGTTACCACGAGCAACAGAAGTGATGCTATGATTATTGTTGCTGTTAATTTTATTATATATATTTTCAATCTATAAGTTTCTCATCATTTTTATGTTGTAGCGCTTTTTTCTTGTATGTTTATTTAGTATTTTCATAATTTTGTGATGTTCCTTCATCTTACCTTCTTGTAGTTTAGAATAAGCAGCAGATTAGTTGCCATGGTACCTGTATGGCCTGCAGTTTGCCGATGGGCGCTCCGAACGCGGTGCGTTTGTGTGCGTAGTCTGCGGCGCAGTCCAGAGAGGCCTGAGCGATGCCGAGCGCCTGAGCTGCGATCCCGATCCGTCCACTGTCCAGGGTTTGCTGTGACACACACACAGACTTATTGTAACGACGGATCCTGAGAAGATGTCTCAGTACGGACACGTTTATATTTGGTTCAGCTCTTATTCTGAAATATTAGTGGCTCAACAGGCTCCATGTGAACACAGCTTCTGGTTAACAGAGAATATAACGCTTTAAAGTACCATGGCGATCTTGAATCCAGCACCACGAGGACCCAGCATGTTGCCCAGCGGTATCCTGCAGTCCTCCATGATGATGTTCGCCGTGGATGACGCTCTGATGCCCAGCTTGTCCTCCTTCTTCCCCAGAGAAAGGCCGGGGTGAGGCATGGGGATCAGGAAGGCGCTGATGCCCTGCAGAGAAGAAGAGCGGTCAGAGGAAATCCAACAAAGGTGACGGAGGATTCTCACCGTTACAGGATATCTAAATGTGGCGCGTCGTGCCTTGTGTTTGAGCTTCTTGTCCGTGGTGGCGAACACGACGGTGGCGGAGGCGTCCCAGCTGTTGGTGATCCAGGCTTTGGTTCCGTTCAGCACCCACTCGTCTCCCTCCTGACGAGCCACCGTGGACGCCGCTCCTGCATCGCTGCCGTTACCTGCAATTTACACTCAGCCGTTTCAATCAAGCTAAACTTTATTTATACGGCACATTTCATTCCAGGTGGAAGCAAAATGTGTCAGTTATCAAGGAAGGTGCGAACACAAAAACTACGTGGACAGTGCAAAGATAAAAACATTAGACACAAATTAAAAACACATAAATGAAAAGAAAAGAAAATACTTCAGAGCAACAACTGATCAGTAAAAAGGTGTTAAATAAAACTATTAAAGAGTAGGAATAAAATGTGATTAAAAACTAATAAACAGTCCAATAAAAATAAGATATGAAACATATAAAAGGAATAAAATTAAAATAAAATGGTAAATTAAGAAGCATGGAGGAGTTTTGCAGCGTCTTCTTGGGATGAAAAGCTCCTCACTCTTGTGATTATAATCCTGTGATATTTCTTAATTCAGTTCATTTGGATGAGGAAGGAGAGGTCAGCGGTTTCTAGCCTGGGATCATTTAACAGAGATTTCCTGTCTGTTAGTTCTTAGTTTTTTCTATTTCAGACGGAGACGTCAGGTCCCTCAGGTGGAGGAATTAAAGGTGAACGTGTGTCACACTCACCTGGCTCACTGAGGGCGAAGCAGCCCACCTGCTCTCCGGTGGTGAACGGTGTGATCCACTGCTTCTTCTGCTCCTCCGTCCCAAACTTCAATATGGGTCCGATGTAGAGAGACTGAGACCAGAACGAGACCTTTAACACACCAGGACCCGGACTCACAGAATCCTACACCACATGTATATATATATATACACAGACTCACATTGTTAACAGAGACCACCACCCCGGTGCTGGCACAGCCCCGGCTGATCTCCTCCACAGCCAGACTGTACGCCAGGTAGTCCATCCCAGCGCCGCCCAGCTCCTCTGGCACCTCCATGGCCAACACCCCCATCGCCCCCAACTCCTGAATCTGAAGAGCGGGAAACAGGGACATTAACGAGTCTGTCTGCTGTTTGGACAGAGGCGGTTTACAGATGTTTGTCTGAAAACATCTGCCTGCTGCGGCCGAATACGACACTAAAGTTGTGTCCGCACAGAAAAACTATGAGCTGGAACTGGAGCTTCGGATCGATGAACTTTCTCACATACATATAGGATTCATTTCTTCAGTTTTCTGAATCAATACCTCTTAAATGTGACATTTACAAAATGAGACTGTTCCCTTTTTATTATTATTATTATTATTATTATTATTCCTCTGCACCGGCGGCAGCCATATTGTTTTCAGGTTGACGTTCGTCTCATTCTCATGAACACGATATCTCAGTAATAGCTCGAGGGAGTTTCTTCAAATTTGGTTAAAACATTTACTTGGAATCAAGGAAGAACTGATTAGATTTTGGTGGCTAAAAGGTCAAAGGTCAAGGTCAGTGTGACCTCACAAAACATTTTTTAGCCATTACTCAAGACTTCACACAGCAATTCTGACAAAATTTCACACAAATGGGATGAAATCTAAACTTTTATTTATTTAGATTTACAGGTTTGTAAGTAAGGTTCATCACTCCCACGGACTCCTGAACACCGTCATCACATGTACTCATTAACCACGTAACCACGTCCACACTGCTTTTTATGGCAACAATAAAATTGGGATCAAATCATAAGTCTGTGTGTGTGTGTGTGTGTGTGTGTGTGTGTGTGCGTGTGTGTGTGTGTGTGTGCACCTGTACCTGTTTGGCAGGGTACAAGTGCTCCTTGTCGAGCCCGGCAGCGATGGGGATCAGTTCTCTGTCGGCGAAGTCCCTGCAGGTCTGTCTGAGGATCTGATGCGTCTCTGGAAGTTCGGCGAGCTGAGAGAAACTCCGACAACCGCTGAGACACAGGCCGAGAGCTGAGGGAGAGAGGAACACCAAGAGCTGAACGATTACTTGATTAATCTGTCAACAAAAAAAGGTTATTGGCAACTGTTTTGATAATTGAATTTATGACAGAGTATTAGGGCCACACTGATGATAGAAAAAAAAATCTGGAACTTCAAGAATAAAGTCAGAATTTTGAGAATAAAATAATAATATTTCAAAACCAAAGTCCTAATATGAGAATAAAGTCAGAATTTTATGTTCCGTGTTGTTTTAGATGGGTAATGTAATAATTATGTTTTTTTCTCTTAAATTTTATATTTTTAATCCTTGTAATATTACAACTCTATTCTTTTAATATTGTGACTTTTTTTTCTTGAAATATTATGACTTTATTCTCATAATTACGACTTTACTCCCGTAATTTCAGATTAGTTTTTTTCCTTCGTGTGGATGTAATACTCCACCATACAACTATCATTTCACTCATTTTTTCAAGACAAAAAACGTGAGAAAAAAGCCACTGTTGATTGGACAAACGAGACATTTGAGGACTCTGTCACCTCGGAAACTGGGATGGACATTAATCTGAACGATCAATTGGAAAAATGAATAATTTCAGCTCTAACAGAGGGAACAATCACACCGAAATCCAAACACACGCTTTGTGAACAGGCGTGTGAAGCAACAATGGGGCGTGAATGTTTCATCTCCGCAGCATCTCTTCAGTGAAAACACAAAGACACAATAAAACACTGAGGTTTTAAAACCTGAGGATGAAGCTTTTGTTGTGGAGGGAAAACCAGGAGCCTGAAATGTTCTGCTCACTCTCTGTTGTCTGACAGGACTCGGGCGGCGTTTTCTAAGGATGGACTTCTTTTCAACGTGGGCTACGTGACGAGTGACAGAAATGACAAGCGCTTTTGTCGACATACAGTAAACCCTCCCTGCAATTTAGTGGATGAACAAACCACTCACTTAACCGTCACCGGGTTTTGTTGAACGTTTTTCAACTTGTGTAAACCTGACATTTCTCATAAAAACACCCACCAAACAGGTTTCTGACTCAAACTGAGGAGAGGTTGTTTCAGGGCTGGAGCGAACAATCACGTTCATTATTGATTAACCTGCGGATTGTTTAAGCATTTGTTCTATAAAACATCAGAAGACAGTGAAAACCAACATTTCAAATCCACAAAAATATTCTATTTCTTCTGTTAAGATCAAGAAAAAAACATTAAAACGTTAAATAACTAATGGTCATTTATCAAAGTAATAATCAAAATATTTGGCCATAAATTTTCTTTCAATTAACTGACTAATTGTTGCAGTGTTCCCTCATTTTTCTATCCAGAGACTTACACCCTACCTTCAGGAAGTTAATTACAGGGAAGAAAATGTTCTATTAATTAATTTTAGGTTGTAAAATAAAAATACTGTCACTGATTCACTCCTTTTCATGCAGCAGAAAACTGCAGAGAGAGAGATCCTCTGGTAGAACAGGACTCTGTTTGCTGCATGTCTGCTGTGATCAGATCCAGTTTTTCTATGATCCTTTGATTAACTGGTCCGATGATGAGACCAAACAATGAGACCCAGCTGCAGCTGCCTACGGCGAGCCAGAAGTGACACAGGATGTTATTTGGGGGGGGGGGGGGGGGGGGGGGGGGGTAATGACTCACAAAGTTCACGGTTGGATTTGATCTGTTATGATGGAGTCACATTCGATTCGCCGTCAGGACAGTGAGAGGAGGAGTGTCCCAGAAAGCCATAAAACTGGGCGACTTCACTGACACAGTAAACGTCCACTATCATGAAATGAAACTAGACTCTGGTTATTTTCATGGAGTGATATATGTGCCTCCCTTTATTCTGACAAGCCTGAGTGGTGGTTCTTCATCTAGACTGGGTCCAATATGGTCCAGATGGGAAAGAGGCAGTGAAATAATGGTTTTTGTAATTTCACAAATAAAATAAAAGTTTCACAAAAAACAGAAACTGTGTTTTAAACAGTCTAATTACTCGTCCCGTTAATCTAGTCAAGACTTGACAAGTCTAAATGTAGTGGTTTTTGATCTAGAACTGGTTTGATTGAGTATGTGAAAACAAAGCAGTGAAATCGCCCTTTTTTCCTGTTTCCACAAACTGAATAAAAGATTTCACAAACTGACACCGTGTTTGAAACAGTTTCTGGACTTCAAATCCAAGTTTGACAAGTGTAGATGTCGTTGTCGGTTTTCTTTAACTAGACAAGAAATCATCTTTTTTTTGCTTTCATAAATAAAATAAAGGTTTCACAGAAGTGGGTTTTAATCAATGTTTAGACTTTAAAGAGGATGTCTAACACAAAAACAAGGACTCAGATAATATAACACACTAAAAAGGAGGGGTACTTCCACTTGTGATACTTCCAGAAGATTTTGCAGATGATACTTTAATAAAAGTCTAAAATCTAAATACTTCTTCCTGCACTGCCTGTGACAACAAAATAGTATTTATAGTAGATAAATCCTGAATAGATGAATCAGGTTCAATTTAACTTATATTTGTTGTATTCAAATACAGCTGTGGCAAAAGTTTATTTAGCATTTAGCATTACATATTTTGTTGATTTTTGAGGTGAAAATAAGTAAATACAACTCCTGCTGCAACCAGACATTTAAAAAAAAAAAAAATCAACTTTCCTTCAAATGTTACTTTATTTTTTCATGAACTGAAATTATAGAAAACTATAATTGCAGCATGTGCAGAGGTTTGTGCACCCTGCTAAGTCAGTACAGCCTTCTGGCAGATGTAACAGAATGCAAATACTTTCTGTAGCAGCTAACAGTCTTTCTATTCTTAATTTAGACTTTGAGGTCTGCTTTGGATCATTGTCCTGTTGTAGAGGCCAGCCTCCTTTCACTTTCTTCACCGAGTGCAGGATTTTTTGTACAGTTTAGTGGAATCCATTCTTCCCTCTGTCTGCCCCGCACCCCCCACCCCAAAATCTGCACATTTACACCCCCATGATTAACAGTTTTCAAGGGGTGGTTATATATTAAAATAACATTTACATACAACATTTACATAACATTTATTGTATAATTTCTTTCCAGTTTTTAAGTTAATTGAATGCTAAAGTAATATTGCCATGCTGTTATCTGTATTCTGCTGCTGCGATTTGCACCAACTTTCTTCGGTCCATGAAGGCAGCACCAACTCAGTGGTTAGCTTCATGTTATTTAGGTGAAAGGTCAACGTCACCATCAGTCACCTTCCTGTCAGTCTGAGAGTTCAAATAAAAAACCCTCTAATTTACAAGAACAGGTGAACTATTTAACAACAAGCTCACCTGACTGTCCTCACCGGAAATTAGCTTGTAACTGTTAGAAACTGGCAGCTAGCCGGCTAACTTTATTTAGCCGAGGAGCTAACAGTCAGGAACACGTTTACTATTTTAGCTATCGTCGCATTACTTATGTCACTTGACTGAAGCTGAAGATGACTCGTGTTGACATTTTTCCTACCTTGTTATCAGTTATAGTGTTAAATAAGATAATGAGATAGGCAAGCTTCCCCGGGGCATGTACCGGCTACCTAGCAAGCTAAGCTAACAGCTGCTCTATGGTGTTTTCAATGCACGTATCTAGCTAATATGAGGCTACACGCTATAGCAGTGTTTCTTATTATAATCTTTAATTGTTCTGACTTTTGTCTTCCCCTTGTACCCACCTTTCCTTGCTTTGAAAAGTGCAGCCATGGTTCCTTCCTCTCAGCTTGATGCACAACCCCTCCACCGGCGATTAGGTTATAACTGAGATGTTATGAAGCTAACCGCTGCGTTTACGTGCGGTCGGAATTAATAGCATTCAACCTATTTGTACCGGCATTGCTATCGTTATTCAGATATTATCAAATATTCAACATTAATTGTTTAAAATGATTCAAATTAGACGCCAGCCAAGGGTTTAAAGTGTATTTGCGCATGTTTTGTCGTCCTATCTAAATACACAAACAGCCATGAAATGATTATACAACCTCAGAGCACGGGTGAAGGGGATTTCAAGGACCCTTGAAGGAAGCATGTGGCCCAGATCAACACAACTTGATGTAAACCTGCCAAATGTATGTCAGGTATGTATCTTTTATACATTCTTTAATTTAGCTCAATTTATGGTATCAAATTTAATATTATTGACATTTATTCTTACAATGAAGCCTATGCATGATGACTCAACTTCCCTGTCACGTGAAGAGGATTTAATATTGTTTATAAACTACTCAAGAGAAGGTTCTAGTGACATTAAAGAGGGTCTAATGGTCACTGATAATAATAAATAAAAGTACTTATAGTTCATAACAAACCACCTATAATTAATAACAGGCCTATTTTTTTGTTTCTGTTGAATGAATAAAGTTAATCCAGCCAGGGAGGTTTCAGGTTTTTCACAACATGTTTATTTTTTAGCACCATAAAAAGTCAGTTAAGGTTGTCCGGTGTATTTGCTCTCATTCTGTCTTTCCTTCGGGATAGAGCGACGATGGTGAAGATTTAGGAAAGGAGTGGAGGGGGGAGGGGGAGGGGAGGGAAGGGAGGGAGGGGAGGGTGGCGTTTGGAGAAATAAAAAGCTGCGAGGGCTGCGTGGCTACAGCAGCTCCTGACGGCCGGCAGGTGTCGTTCACTTGCTGGCGGAGGTGAAGGTGAAGCATCCTCTCTGGTGGAACTGCATGTCCCTGATACGACGCATGGACTGGATCTGGGGCTGGAAGGCGCAGAAGTCGTTGTAGTGTCTGTAGTCACCGCACTCGAACAGGTACTGGTAGCCTCTGTATCCGGGGTACTGGTAACCCACCCAGCTGAGGGAGACATGGAGAGAGGGGGGAGTTAGTGCTTTAATCTGACTTTAATCCCAGGTAGTTGATCTCATGGTTCATATTGATTTTTAATGTGTTCTCTGTCTCCTGTTGTAGGATGTTTATGTTCTTCATCATAAATTCGTATCCCTATACTGTATGATGTAATTACCACATTCCTTCTGAATAGACTGGAGATTAGCAGTTCTCAAGAGGACCTAATAATGATTAAGGAGATTCTAGGGATCCTTGAAGAGGATCTAGGCTTCCTTTAAGAGGTTCCAAGATCCCCTGAGAAATAACAAGAGGCATTTTAGGAGGCTGATGAGCTTGAAGAGGTTCCAGGGTTCTTGTAAGAACTTCTAGTGATAAAAGAGAACAGTCTAGGAGTTCTTTAGGAAGGCCGGAGAATATAGAAGTTCTTTCAAAGCTTCCATGCTTTCCCTGACAATTAGAACTGAGGCTGTTCTGGAGCCTCGGGTGGAACCGTCAAAATGAATAGATGCGCATCTCACTGTGAGACTTCAGTCATGTTGATATGAAGGAAACTTCCTGACTAAAAATACATTTGTCAAGAAACAAAACAAACACAATGCAGTCAGCGTTAAGCCTTGTGATGACATGTCATACTACTTTTTAATGAACAACTACATTGTAGTGTAACTCCAGAGGCCCGGAGCGATGTCTAAAACAATATTTGCAGCACTGAGCCTCCACTTTAGTTAAATGTGGGAAATGAGCAGACAGGTTCGCTCCCGGGCTCCCGACACACACCTACGAGTCTTTCATCTCGGAACCTGAGCAGCTGAAGCTATTATTAAAGTGTGTGTTTGTGTCTACTCACGCTCCTCCTGGCACCCTCACGCTGCCCACTCTGTCGCAGAAGCCATGCGCCCAGAGGGTGGGCACATCATCCTCCTGGATCTCCATCTTGTTGCCCTTGAAGTCGGAGAGCTCGTACAGGCAGATCTTGTGCTCCATGCTGTCCTGCAGGGAGGAAATGAGCCATGGAGAATTAATAATTAGTCTTTGTGTCACACTGACTTAATTAGCTCATTTAATTAGTTGATGTTGATTTGTTATATTCCTATTTTTGTGTTGTTTTTGTTTTACTGTGGCTGTAACTGGTGTCTCTGTCTGTTTTATCCCAGAGTGAAAAATCTCAACAACTACTTACCTCCAGAGGTAAAACAATTTGTCAATCACTTGAAATTAATCAGGAACTATTTTGATAATTGATCAATTTTGATATTCAGTCATTTTTCAAGCAAAACTGCAATAAAACCAAAAAATTGATGGTTCTCAATTGTGAACATTAGCAGCTTTTCTTTATCATATATGATTTTAAATTGAAAGTCTTTGGGACAAATTATAATGTAATAAGTATATTTTCACTATTTTCTCCCATTTACCAAAAACATCATTCATCGATTAATCAAGGCAATAATCTGCAAATGGATCCTTAATGAAAATAATCACCAGCTGTATCTGTAGTTGTTGCACTTTTCATCTCAGCTTCATCAGGTCAGTAGCATGTGTAAGCTTTAGACTTGACTGCATGTCTTCCACTTCTGGGTCTTGTTTAAAATTATAATATATAACTTTCTATATTTCAGTATCTAGACTGTGAACCGTACCATGCGGATGGGCCTGAGGGACATGAGGCAGTCGCTGCGGTAGGAGTTGCTCCAGGTATCCCAGCGAGGATACTCTCCCTTCTCCAGGATGAACATCTCCCCACGGAAGTTAGTCTGCTCAAAGGCAACAAAGCTGGAGAGGGGGGGCCGCCGGGCACAGGGGGGGCACAAGGGGGGGAAGAGGAGGGGAGAGGAAAATTAGAGGAGAGGTAACAGAGAAATATGAGTGAGTACAGGGAATCTACACGGAGAGGTTGTGTCCACTTACGGGCCGCACTCCACAATGATACTACGCACTCTATCCATGCCACGGTCACACACGTTCATACACTCATTCTGGACCTCGATCATCCTGCCCTGGAAGTTCTCCTGGTCGAACAGCATGATCTGCAGAGAGGAGACGGCACACGTTACAACAGCATCCTTCACTAACCCAGCGGTGTCTTCTTCACCGACTAAACTGTCTGAATATTCAGTTCAAATTATGACTCTGAGTTATTTCCAAACATGAAGACAAGTCCACGTCCACGTCCTCTAAACATCAGCTTCACTTCATGATACTAAGTTCTAAGCACTTCTTTCATTTACTGCTGCTTTATACTTTTGGTTCACCACATTTCAGAGGAAATTATTGTACTTTTAAGATTTTACTCACAAAATATATGATAAAATATTCTGGTAGTGTTATAATATATAAGATATTACACCACCCAACAGCATATAAAGCAGCACCACACCCACCCACTTTTTTTGCACCAAAAATAAAGATTGCAATAATATAACAACAATATATCACTCTCAAATGAATGAATTAAATGGTATTGCTGCTGTATTTATACATGAATACATCGTTCAGCACTGTTAAATGAAATTTAAAGCTAAATTGAATAAGAGTAAACTAAGAAATGTTAAGCAGTAACTTGCATTAAAAAAACATTTAAAGGGTCTGTTTGCTCAGATCACAAGCACTAACCACTTTGCCTTTTGTCCCAATTAAATGCCATTAGTTGTGCTAAAAGCATCCAAATTTTAAAGACTCTTCTGCAACAGGATAATCCATTCTGGGCAGTTTTTTTACCACTTTAACCAGTTCAGTTTTTTATATGCCGTAAACACCACTAACTGAATATCTCAAACTACCTGCACGGCTTCAGGAGAAGATGTGTTCTCAATGTAATCTGGGTGAACTGACCCTTTAAATAAAACAGTGTCTAATGCTGCAGTGACTCACTCTGAAGGATCCCACGCCAGGCTCGCCGGTCTTGGTGGCCTTGCTGGAGGCAGCAGGAGCGGGGGCTCCCTTGTCCTTGGCATCGGTGCCCTGGCTGGAGGCGGACTTGGCAGTCTGAGACATGGTGAGGGGCTTCAGGAGAGTCTGGGTGAGAGATGGAGGAAGACAAGGGGATGAACAGAAATAGAGGTGTAAATGGAAGTGACAGGGTGGTTCGATGTGGCCTTAGTCGAAGTGTGAACATTGTAAAGGGGTGGTAGGTAGGTAGGTATGTTTTTGGGATTTGGAATTAAGCACAAGTCTGCTGTTTATGTGGGAGGCTCATTTGGGCCCTGGACTTCTGTTTGGGTCTTTCCTCAGGCTGAGGGTGGTTTGCCTGGGTGTGGTGGGCAGGGAGTGGGCCCTGGCTCTGGATGATGTGTGCTTGTCCCCCCCCCCCTGTACTACGATGGGTGCTGTGGTGTCTATGTCTGCGTCTGTGTGTCCTTACCTGCGTTAGTATAGCTTGCAGTGCCGTGTGTGGGAGGCTGGCTCGTGCTGGTCCCTTCAACGCTCGACCCAAGCTTTTATACTCTGGCAAAGGCCAAACGTAGAGGCTCACAGCACAATAGAAAGCCTCTCGTCATCACAGTTGGCCTGTGCCAAAGCCACCGGGTCATCGCATAGCCCAGAAACGCCGCCGGCCCCACTGGCCTGCCTGTAAGCGTTTTACTGTCAAAGGAAACCACTGACCAAGGCATTTTTCCCATGTGTTGGGCTGCTGGGGCCGTAAGCTATAGTTACATGTAGAGAGGAGGAATGCAAAGGTCCAGAGGGAACAAAGAGGTAATCCCTTCTCTCTATCACCTACAGACACACAAATACAACTTAATTTCTAGCTTTGGACCTGAAAAAAAAGACTCAAAAATAAATTATTCTTTCATCTGAACTATGGTCACTCACACCAAGAAAATGACCCCCCTCTTTACAGCTACAATATTAACAGTTTGTCTTATTTAAACATTTAAAAGAAAACATAACAATGGTTTATTGAGTTTTAGCTGCTTAATCGATGACTAGCCCAGAGGCTAGGCTAGCTGTAAATCTGCTTTACCTAAAGAAACAGTTCAACATATTAGCAAATTTGAGCTAATTTTTTCAGATAAAAATTTACTAAAGAGGGAGGATAAAGTTCTCAGAGCTAAAGAAATCAATAATCATTTAGCTAGCATGCTAGCTCTGTCCCTAACATTACAGTAACTTCATACAATTAATTCAAAAGTCAAATTTTTACCATCAACTCCTGTCTCATGACTGCAACGCACCTAATAAGCTATGTTAGCTTCTGCCATTTTGGATTCTGGTTTGCTGGCAGTCAACAGCACAATATAAGCAGCTTTAATTAACCCTCCACAAGCCCCAGGCTGCTGGACAAACTATCAGTCTGTGTACATAAAGAAATAGCCCAACATTTTGGGAATTATGCTAATTTTTTTCAACATAGCTAATGAGCTACAATAGCCTTCTCCGTTTTGGTTTCTGGTTTGCTGGGAATTTTTTTCAATCAAAACTGAATAAAGAGGGAGGAAGAAACTCTCAGAGCCAATGAACTCAGTCATTTAGCTAGCTTGCTAGCTCGGTCTCTAACATACTAGTAACTTCATACAGTTGATACAAAAGTCACGTTTGTATCATCAACTCCTGTCTCATGACTATAGAGCACAGCTAATAAGCTAGCTTCCGCCATTTTGGATTCTCGTTTGCTTGTAGTAAACAGCACAAAAAAGGAAACATATGCATCTTTAATTAATCCCCATAACAGGTGACACAACCGCGTACATATCCTTTTTGTTTAATCTGTACACAGATATTAATGTAAAAAAAAACAATAGTTTTAATTGAATTAACAGCAAACACCTGCTAACCTAAAGGCACAAATTGTTGTCCCCTGCTTCCGCTCCTTTATGCTAAGCTAGGCTAATGGCCTCCCACCTCCAGCTATATTTGTAACATACAGGCATGAGAGTGAGATCAATATTCTCCTGTAATAATGAAAAGTAATGTCATTTACGCAGTAACATAAGTCTAAAATTTGCTAACATTAGCTAATGCTAGCCACCGTAAACTACTGGCCATACAAAACCATAGTGTAATAAACTGAACAGTGACTTTTATTCCATATCAGCTCATTTCTATTTTTATATTAATGCACTGTTTGAGTTTTGTATTTCCAGCACCATTGTAAATGAGAATCCCTCCTCCTCCTGATGATGATGATGATGATGATGATGGTGATAATTCTTGGATTAAAGGCAGATTATGTCTGGATTATATCACCTCAGATGTTCTTATTTCCACCATTGCAGCAGGAATTAAATTGTGTTTGATTATGCAGATTAGGTGTGAACTGATCCTGTTGTGTAATCTCTGTGTTCTTCCTGTTGGGGCTGAGATAATTTACTAAAACAGTTGCTCACTGCAGTTTTTTTATTAACCAAACAGGAGGAAACAGTGAATTTGTCTTGGACTATTTTTAGCAGTGGATGAATCCACATTTGGTGCTCTGGGGAGTGTTTCGTGCATTTGTGGTAATGAAGGCTCATTGATGTATTTTTATTCGTTTGTGGACAACAATGGAGCTCACAGAGCAACAGGATCCTGTGTATCACACACATTATTAGTCTTTTTTTTTTTAGTCTTTTCATGAGATTTATTGACGATAAGAAAATCAGTTTATGATCAGAATTATCCTTTAAATGGAAAAAAAGGTTTTGATTTCTCAAAGTATTATTTTGCCATAATATCAAACTCAGGTATCAGCAGTAATATTGACATATTTTAAATTATCATAACATCTTTTGAAACAAATTAAATTTAAAAACCAGGTTTGTGAGAGAGGGAATCTGTCCTCTAATGACCAAGAAACATATTGATTTTAACGACCCTATGACCTTTCCATACCTCCACTATCAATTGGCTACCCCTGTTTATTCTGTAATTCACCCAGTGCAACGTTGAGTCTGACAGCTACAGGCCAATTATTGCACCTTGGAAATGTCGGCTGTTTTCTTTTGGTTGTTTTCATCTTTGTGGAACAGCACAGGATCACATCACTCAAAAAATAATCAGCATAACACTCATTTACTGCAGTGAGGTAATTGTTTTGGTCTCAAGAAAGCAGACTTTATGTTTTATTTGAGAAGAAATTACCTTTTAAACGGCGATAAACTCAGGTTAAATGTGTCTGTTATTGTATGTGAGCGTTTGAAGTGGTAAATCACATCTAGAAGTGACTGAAATACAGATTCTCTGCTTAAATTCCTCTGGGCTCACAGGAAATAGAGCTGTTGTTTAGAAAGTGCTGCTGCCCATCCAGTGCCTCTGCTCTCTTGTTTACAAGTGGCTGATTATGTAAGCAGTCACTCACACACACACACACACACACACACACACACACACACACACACTCGAGCAGGAGATATTGTATTATACTCTACAACCTCTTGGTTAAACCTGTTTAAAACATTGCTGGCTTTCATCTTTTATATTGTGTGATAAGGACAATTACACCTGACTTTAATTTTGAAAACTGGATGCATTAAAAGGAGACTTTCATAATAAAACCTCTGATGTGCTGACATCATTGTTTAATCTAACCAGATATTCTCTTAAAAAACATTTCCTCATATTCCGACGTTCACATTTAGTGAGAGAACAGAAACAGAGATGGTCTCTCAGGATTCATACTTTATAAGTTATAAAGCATTGGGGCTTATCACAGAGTCATCAAAGGGAGTATTAATGTACTACACAGAGCGGCAGGGGAAGTATGTCTACACCAAAACGTCTGGATGAATAGCTTCCTCTCTGCTGTTTATATTTCTGCTCGTACACATGCAGTCGTGTTTCATAAGCGCTCACTATCTGCAGAGAAAATCAGGTCTCCTTAACTAAACTCCACTGACACATCAGTGAGTCATGCAGCCAGTCTGCACTGATATACAGATACCTGAGCAGGTGAGACAGGACACGACATTTAATCATTACACATGGAGATGATTGGGTGATATTAGTTATTTAGTTACCCATAGGGAAATATATATATATGTATAATAATATATGTCCCTATATCAAGAGTGATGTTGCCATATGTGTTGACTTTAAGTGGATATATAATTAACACACGTATACATCATACATGAAATACTCATAGTAAAATGTGTATTTGTACATACAGTATATTAAAAATATCTACATAATGAATTTTTATATAGTATAACATGTGACCATATATGTTCACGGTGTATATATTTAATTTATGTATAATATAATAAGTTTATTAAGACAACATAAATATAAACATTTTATATGTTTTTTCCATGTGTTTTTTCTTATTTCTAATTTTTAATATTAATTTTAAATTAAGGGGTCTCAGACTTTTGGTCTGTTTATAATATCAACACATATTGACAGGATATACATCTAGCTACAATATAAGCATACATAATTAAACATTGTATAGGCTAGACATTCATGTCAATATCTGAAATGATTCCAATCGGTTTCATAAATAATTTTTATAATTTATTTTTGTTACATATGTGGACAGTGAATATATGAACATATATGACATTTGGGTTTGGGTATTGCTTTAAAAAGCTGCACATTCGTTGTTTAATGAGACATTAAATCAATCAAATGATAAAGTGAATCGTTCTTTGGAGCCTTAGATTCAAACAATAAGCTGCATCTTCTCTCACGTCCTTGACCCTCATCGTTTCCTCAGGATCTCACTCTGTATCTTGTCTCTCTTATATTCCAGTGTCTCCGCGTCCACTGCCCCGGGTGATAATGTGGTGTCTGCACTTCTGCCCCCTCCACAGATTAACCACGCTTTTGTCGGGGGGGACAAAGCGAAGCCCCTCCCTGTTGCTGAGCTGGGGCTTTCAGCATGGCCTCTTGCCAGGGGAGGCTTTAAAAGGGTGGGGGCGCGTGGCTCCTCTCACTCTCACGGCAGGACATCCCAAGGGCATCAAAGCAAGGTGAGTCCCTGTCCCTCACCCAGCACTGCACAGCACAGCACAGCCAGCCAGGCAGCACAGGCACAGCGCAGCCAGGCTACACCAGCCCCCCACACTCACACTCCAAATACCCCTAAACACAGCAGCCAGCCGGGCTCCAGCGGCCATCACTGCACCCAGTGGGTGAGATAAACAGTGGTGATGGTGGAAAATCTCCGCCGCAGCAGCAGCAGCAGCAGCAGCAGCAACAGGTCAGGAAATGGGCAGAGAGTGAGATAAAGAGATAGAATGGGTGGGAGAAAGTCTGGATGAGGCCTCTGGCTCCTCTAACCCTCTTCATTTTTGTGTAGGAACTATAAATAGATGCTTTCAGTTCAGGAATGATGCATTCAGGCTCATTCCAGTATTCAGGCCTCATTGTTGCTGGAGCTTTTCAGCCTTTCCATAACACACACTGACGCTGCTGTACAGGCCATTTCAACCTGTTGTGTATCAGTCCGGGCTTGTTGTTTATGGGGAACAACACTTTAGTGGCTTTGTGATGAAAAGTTTACAACAGTGCGTCTCCTGCTCTGCTGTTTACTGTCAATTTAAACTTGTTCCTGCGTCAGAATCAAACAGTTCAGTATGTGCTCTCTTGTCATTGTGATCTCTCTCTCTCTGTTTTTCTTCTTCCTGCCAGACAAAATGACTCACCACTGCACCAAGTTCTCCGGCCACTGGAAGGTGAGTGTGTGTGCAGATGGAGGAACAGATTCATACATCACCCCACTGGAGGTCCTTTCAACCTACTCGCTCTCCCCGAGATGCGACCGGCTGCTTCTAGTGAAATGTCTCAGACGAAAAAGACACGCGATTCATCACCAGCTCCTCCGGGAGAGAGCTGCCGTTTCTCTCACAGGCAGAGAGCGGCAGAGTTAATGTAGCCCCTAGACCATATGAGGACGTTCTGCGTGTAACAAACACAATTAACACAAGTTTATACCTTTAAAACGAAGCAGCTGAGCATGTCTTAGTGTCTGTATGTGCTGCTGTGTTTACTCGTCTGCTTCCCCCCCGTCAGATCATTGTCTTCGACGAGGAGTGCTTCCAGGGCCGTCGTCATGAGTTCACCTCTGAGTGCTGCAACGTGATGGAGTTCGGCTTCGAGACCGTGCGCTCCCTCAGAGTGGAGAGCGGAGCGTGAGTAAACACACACACACACACACACACAGAAAACAACAGAGAATGCAGAACTGTCACTGTCACAAGCACCAGATATTTACAGGCTCTGGCCGGTGGAGAGAGCGTAACAGGCTTTGACTTTCTCTCCCCAGCTGGGTGGGTTACGAGCATGCTTCCTACCAGGGACAGCAGTTTGTGCTGGAGAGGGGAGAGTACCCCCAGTGTGATGCCTTCGGCGGCAGCAATGCCTATCACATTGAGAGACTGACCTCCTTCAGACCCATTGCCTGTGCTGTAAGTGCAACACGGATCACCTGCCTCACCTTTCCACTCCTTCAGCTTCACAAATGTCAACATCTCTCTCGTGTCGTTGAACTTGTGTCGCTGCCGTGGACTTGACTGACTGGAAAAACAACCTATATGTATTGTTTGCTCTTTTTTTTCTGCCCTCCAGAACCACAGAGAGTGTCGTATGACTATCTATGAGCGTGAGAACTTCCTGGGCCGTAAGGGTGAGCTTAGTGACGATTATCCCTCCCTCCAGGCCATGGGCTGGTGCAACAATGAAGTTGGCTCTCTCAGGATCCAGTCTGGAGCGTGAGTGTCCTCCAGCTACGGCAACACTCCTCCTCTCCCTCCACATTTTTTTTTTTTATTTCCAACTCAACTATTTCTTTTTTAGCTTCCCTTCAGCAGTTCAAAAATAATCCTGGTTAGACTTTCACAACAACAGCCTGTTGCAACATCTCATGTCTTCTTCCTCCTCTCACTCTCTCCCTCTCTGCGATTTCTCAACAGATTTGTGTGCTACCAGTACCCTGGTTATCGTGGATACCAGTATATCATGGAGTGTGATCGTCACTGTGGGGAGTACAAACACTTCAGGGAGTTTGGCTCCCACTGCCAGACCCCTCAGATCCAGTCCATCCGCCGTATTCAGCAGTAACAACTTACTCCAAACTCCCTTTTCCCATGTGACCCTTCACCTCTGACCCCTGCTACTTGCCAGTGCTGAATAAACTGTCTTTCTTAAACCTTACCGACTTCCACCATGTATCTGCTTCTCTTCTGATCAAAGGATAGATAGATAGATAGAGATATAGATAAAGATATACTGTATGGTTTTATAAATTTACAATGATTTCAGGCTTAAAATTGATGGTTTTCTGATTCTTGCCATAAAAGCTAAAACCTCTATTAATTTATAAATCTATAGATGTTTTGGTCTGTTATAAACCAGCAGTTGTGCGAGGTTATAAAACTGAAACATCTCTGTGTGAGTTTGATGACTTTGCCTGAAATACGAGCTGATTTCCAGCTGGGAAAAACAGGCAGAGTCCCCGGGCCCTGAAAGCCTCACTGTGTCAAAATGGGTCCAATAACAGGTTAATGCAGCACATGTAAAATGACTTTGTGTGGTTCTGAATTCAAACATCTGATGGGTTTACATAATGTGATGTGTTGTCTGGCAAAGACGTTAAAATGAGTTTCTACTTCATGCATTAGTTACAAAAAACCAACAGTAGAATATGCAGAATGAAAACTTTTACTTTTGAAACTTTAAGTACATTTAGTTGATAGTACTTCTGTACTTTTACTTCAGACGAATAACAAAGATTTACTGCAGGACTTTGAGCTGTAAATGAAACTGATCGTCTTTGGCTTCTGAGCTGTTGATCAAACTGAACAAGACGTCTCCTCTGACTCCCAGAAACTGAGCTGCACGATTTCTCACTAACTGCTTAATTGATTAATCAAGAAATTTATCAGCAAATTAACTGAAAAATGAATAATTTGTTAATTGCAGCTCTAAATGAATTGTTTTAGTTGTAATTATCACTTTAAAGGCTCAGGTCTGAGCTTTTTCTGCACCGTTAGTGTCTAAATAATTCCTGTTTTTGTCATATATCTTTCCATATGACAGGGATCAGCAGTTACAGGACAATTTCTTCAGAGGCGACACAGTTTTCAAGTACGATACAGACGCAGGAATCTACTGTATTTTGTATTTGTTACAGTATTTTCTTTAATTCTAGTTTGTTTTAGATTTGCACTCTGATGCAAATGTGTGTTTTCCATTTGTAAGTGAGGGCTAACAGAGCTACAGCTGAGGAGGACCAGGGATGTCACAGGAAAAGTAGTTAAACATTTCCTTTATTTCATATTTTAATAGGCATTAAACATAGGAGTTGTAAAAATAATTTATTATAATTATTAATTATAAATAATTAAGATAGAAAAAACTCTCAACAGTAGTTTATTTGGAAAAAAAAGTGTTGTTTATGTTGTTACCTTAGAAATGCTTTGCATTAACGGGATGTTTCTGTTCGACTGCCAACTATTGTCTTTCAGATGCAAATTACTGACTATAATTAGATGTTACAGGGTCACATTTATTTGGATTTCCACCTTAAATCAACAGTACGCTGTGACCTGCGGTACATTCATGAGAAATTGTTGTAAAGATTTTGATGCAAACCATAAAATGGAAAACTCCTGCTTTTCTTGGGAGTCAAATATTTGACCCAGGGGCCTCTGTTTGCCTTCCACCGCCACATGCTGCTGTAACCTGCAGGCCCCGTCCATTGCAGTGAGTGCAGGAGGAGCATTACCACTGCTGGCCAGGAAACGGCACTGCGTGTCCACCGAGACAAGCACATGCACACCCAGCTCAGTGGGGGCCATCCTATAGACAACCCATTACTGTGCAGTAATATTAATTATCAGAGGCTGCTGCTTCGTGACCATTCAGGTGCAATGTGAAAAGCAACTTGTTTAATACTGACACAGACTGAGAGGCCTCATTGTTTGTATGCTAAAGCCTGTATTTTTCACTCATCCATTTTAAACAGGCCTTAATGTGCCCTTCTTTATCTTTCAAGTACCCCCCTGTGGGAAACCTCCTGTAAACAAACTGCTCCATGCTTCTGAAATTCCCAGTCGTAAATCACCACTGACAAAAAAATATGGTCTAAAATTGGAAAATGAAAAATCCCAACTATGAAATCTGGGTAACAACATTTGCAATGCATGCCTTTTAATGCTAGTTCAATGTTTAAATAAAATGTCAATGATAAAAATGAAGAAAATATTCTAAATACAATGGTTTTCCCTCTTGTCGACACCCAATGTGGTCCGGCCCCGGCCAAACAATGACCCGCTCCGTGTTTTACAAGCCTCTCCCCGCCGCAGTGGGAGGAAGTTGAACCACAAAGCAAGCAGTGCCACTGTGCTAGCAAAAAAAATAATAATAGAAAAATACAACCGAAGAGGGACTTAACTGAAACATGTGCCATACTGGAGCTGGAAGACGAGCAGCTTGATCGAAAGGAGCGGACGGAAACGGTTGGCACACGGCCAGCCTGGAAGCAGCGGACGGGACAACCGCGTAGCCGAGCGAGGGCTCCCCCAGCACGGATAGCACTGGTAGACAGGAGTCGCTCGGGGCTGCGCTGTCGGAGTACGACGACCCGCTCGGCTCCCCCCTCGCTTTTATTTCACATATATCCACCTCTGTGCGGTCGGTTTACGAAGGGAAGACCATCAGCACAGTGGTGTATTAGGTGGTTTTTTTTTTTGTTTGTTTTTTCTTAAACATTACCAGCAGTGATCATCATTATCGCCCGGCCATTTAATCACAAGTTTACGGCGGAGAAGGAAAAGTTATCGGTTAACAGGCAGCGAACTACCGCTGGCCAGCCGAGCTCCATCACCCAGCAGCGCTCCCTCCCCCTCCTCTACCATCAGCGTCACCATCAGCCCACAGTCAGTCGCTCTGTGCTGGGTCTCCAGGCGAGGAGGGTACCCCCCCGTGCAACGCTCGGGGTAACTCACCAAGCAGCTATGGATTATTTTGTGAGATTTTCTCATTGTTTTTGACTCCACCGGACTCTCGGAGACTGTGTGTGTGTGTGTGTGTGTGTTTTTTTCCTCTTCTTTCCCGGAGACGCTGCAAAGACTTCCCCAATACTCGCAGCCGTTAGCTTATTAAGTCCATCGCTTGTCTGAAACCGAGCCAGTGTTTCTGTTAGTGCCAGCTGGTGACTGTGTTTGCTACTGGCAACGAGGACATTTTAGCGTCTCCGCTCAGCTGAAACAACCCAAACTAGACGCATAGTTTGTGTGATCTCTCTATACATTATTCGTTAGTTAGCCATACTGGCTAGCATGTTTCATTTTGCTAGCTAGCGTGGTAGCTAACTAGCGGACGAACCCAAATATCGATATCGCCAGCAGGCTAAAACGAGTTAGCTTTCGGGCGTGAGGATTTGACCGGTGATTAGTCGATCACACCCTCTCGCTTGGACTGGATTTGGTGCTAAACCTCTTAAAGTGTTTAACTACATCTTATTCTTTTTTTCGCGGGCGACATTTTTTGCGATTGATGAGCCGATAAGGAGGAACATTGCAGCCGAACACAGGAAGCCAGCAGCCAGCCAGCGAGCAGCGGCAACGACGGCAACATAAACAACAGCGGTGTGTGGATTTTAGGGAATGCAGATCATGAGTCCGGGCTCATCTTTAACCTGTGCTTGTGTGGTTTTATTTGTGCCAAATCGCGCCTGAGAGACTTGCATTTTTCTCGGAGCAGCAGCCGAAATACATTCAGGACGAAGAAGTAGCACCCTGATGGTGAATACAACCTGTCGCCTCATGAATTCCCCTTTTTTTTTCGGTGTCAGTGATTGCTCTCTGAGAGGAAGAGAACCAGCTACACGTGTTTTATTACAGTAAATCTTCTGCTGGTGTCAAGACACAGAAAAAGGAACCAGTCACATTTCTTTCTTTTTTTTTTTTTTTTTTTTTTTTTTTTTTTTTACTGTGCAACCATTAAAGTCAGGAAATTTTTTCTCTCTGTTTCCACCGTACAGTGTTTACATTTAGAGGAAAACCCCCGAAACACATGCCGCACTGGAGACAAACCAGTCGCATTTCCATCAAGAGGACCAGAGAAGTACCCCAGAGTCCTGTGGGATTTGACAGCTGTCTCCAGATCCTGCATCGGGTGCATCTACCTATCTCTGTGAGACATATCACATTACTATAAAGCGAGGAGGTACCGGCTGCAAAACCCAGATCTCATCTGGCTTCTCCTCGCATTATTTTTCCACAAAAAAACGCACCCAAGAAACCTGCATTTTTTTTTTTTGCACTAAATGGGATTACAAGGACGGTGATCTACGGGGCCTTGTGACTGTCATTTCTTCAGTAACTTGTCACCCAATGTCTTCCCTCCTGAATTTCCGTTTTTCTTCTACAATGATGGTAGTTTGAGGCGAAGTGAGCAGACTACAAACCGGAGACAACGACGCGGTTTCCCCCCCAGTCGATGGTCAGCCCCGCCGTCCGCTCAGCCGGCCCCTGTCACGCACCTTGGCCCTTGATGTTGGTCATATCTGGTGTAGGACATTATTTTTTAATTCCCTAAAACAAAACCCGTCCCCCCTCCCCACAGCCCCGGTTATTTTATTGATTTGGTCGTCCCAGGGTCGAAAGATGGCGGACCTCGAAGCAGTACTCGCCGATGTCAGTTATTTGATGGCGATGGAGAAGAGCAAATCTACTCCAGCGGCCCGGGCGAGTAAGAAAATCATCCTGCCTGAACCCAGGTAACTACATTTTACAAAGAGCTTTCATGTTGTGCTTGTTTGCCTGTCAAATGGATGCATTTATTTTTTTATATGCATGCTATGCAGCCATATAGGGAGATGGAGGCGTGCTTCCTCTTAAACCTGTGACTTATCGTAGATGTGAAATATGACTGTAGAGCCTGAAATTTCTGCAAACATGCTGCGACTCAGTGGCTTCATGATGTCACCAAAACAACCATGCAGTGGCTCAATGTGCATGTCATTTTATACCTTAACCTCACCAAGCAGCTAACCTCCTGTTAACCTTTGAGAAAGTCTTATGGAGGAGGTTGAGATGCAGCTACATGCAGAATATTTCTCATGATATTGATATTTTTTCAAACATCACAAGGTGTTGATTCTGTCCTATCTGTCATATCTTTATGCAAATAAGTCAAGCACCTGCTGCCAGGTTTGCTTGACTGTCAGTGTGATCATAAATGTGTCTTAATGTTGCATGTGCCACATATTTGAGGCTGCTGTCTCCTGTCTGTGTGTACTGTGTGTACTGTGGGTACTGTGTGTACTGTGGGTACGCTGTCAGCCCCTGTGATGCAGTTGCACTATCAGTATCTGCAGCTCTTGATCCAAAACCCCCTGCTCATCCATGCTTTTTGCAAGCACCCGAGTAGGCCATCAGACGAGACCACAGTTAAAATCACATTTAAATAATACACCCCCCC